TGTGTGTGTGTGTGTGTGTGTGTGTGTGTGTGTGTGTGTGTGTGTGTGTGTGCCGGCACGTGAGTTTGGTTATATGAACGTGAATGCGAGTGTACGGAAGAGCGGTAAAAGGGAAATCTTATAAGAAAGAATTAATAAAATACGAGCTGTTACGAACCTACCGCTGTACATCATAGAGCCAATCAATATACGAAGGATTGTGATCATGTCTTGAGGCAACGTACGCATTCAAGTCCAAAAGCCAAGAACATTTATTTGTAAGGCCTACGGGCATTCGCTTACAGGTGGAGTGGCATAACGTTGGCGAGCTGTTCGATTATCCTTACCCCAAATAGCACAATATTTTTGGAGAGAGAAAAAAGCAAACTGCTTCATTCTTTTTAAAATTGTACCTGCATTAAATCTCTTTTCTAGCCTTTTTTTTTCAATATTTAGAAGGTGAATATCAACAAAATATTTCAAGAGGACATGCAACCAATTGAAAAACTGCAATTAAAAAAAAGATCATTTATAATCTTAGGTTTAGTACATTTGAACAGCTGGCTGCGTGGCGACATTATTTTTATCATGGCCAATTTATTTTCAGCAATTCTCTTGGGGCATCTTAAGATGTCTCCCTTGGAGGTCAAGCAAGCTCTCTACAACATGGACGAGAACACGCTGTCCGCAGAACTTGTCAAACAGCTGTTGACCTACACACCCAACAAACACGAAGTGAGCATCTTAGAGCATTCTCATTCTTGACAGTGCTTTACTGAATATCAGTTAGATAATCAATTATTAATGTGATTGTTATTTGATCATCAAACATGAAGTGAACATCATAGCGTATTTTCGTTCATATCATTGCTTTATCGAATATTAGTTTGATAATTAATCAAGTATTAACTTGATTGTTATTTGATCATCAAACATGAAGTGAGCATCACAGCGTATAGTTCAAATCACAAGTTCCTCTAACTGGGCCATGTATAAACTCTGTAGATTATTGTCTCATTGTCAGGGGAGATTCTTGTTTCTCTAGGCAAATAATCCTCACGAGTGATTATGAGAAGGACTGCAATGCCCATCTCCTTAGACTTAGATGTAGTGGTAAGAGTGAAAAGGCTAGAACGTTCCGTCCAGGGAAACAGGAAAGTGGCGGGCGGGCGGGGGGAGGGCGCACCTTTTCTCTGTCTACAATGTCACTAACGTTCATGAAATACGTTCTTCCACAGATTGCTCAGTACAAACTGTACTCTGGCAGTAAGCTGCTCCTCACTAAACCAGATCAGTTTGCGTATCAGGTTGGCCTTTTAGAGCAATGATTTTAAGTGTGAAGTGTTTAATTTATGAATTGGAGTGCTATGAAAGTGAAATGCACGAGGTTTTAAAGGAATACCATTATACGTTCTGTTTTAAGGTTTCCATTTACAGTGTAGTTGCCATTTCGACAAAATGCTTAAAATCTTGCTTCTGAACAAAGATTTGTTTTAGCTCTTATCGTCTTATCGTGTGTGTGTGACAAAAAAAAAAAAATATATTTTATCATTTATGTGAGTGTGTTTGTGTGTGTTTGTGTGTGTGTGTGTGTGTGTGTGTGTGTGTGTGCGTGTGTGTGTGTGTGTGTGTGTGTGTGTGTGTGTGTGTGTGTGTGTTAGTGAGTGACAATTCCGTATTAAAGGGAAATATTGACGCTTAACGTATTATTTATAATATAGAAGTCAGGGTATTCAATGGACACACTTAGCAGCACACCTCTCGCAAGTTATTTACACATGCATAAGAAGTTTAATGACAAGGCCCATAAGAATGGCGCTAAAGTTATGTTTGTATTTTTAACGTTCTAGTGTTGTTATTTCTACAGATGAGCTTTGTTGGAGACTATGAAGAACGATTAAAGGCTTTGCTGTTCAAGGCCAGTTTCAGGGAAAAGATAGACGAAATGAGAGAGGTAATGCCCTGGTTTTATCTAAACAAAAACCTTAATCATAATTTCATAAATAGATAATATATGCAATGAAGCTCATATATTTATGTATCATCCTTCCAGTCTCTTGGGGCCAACTGATGAAAACACGTTTTTCACATCTTGAAAATATGTACATTTGCTTTATAGTATAATTTATACAACATCAAGTGCTTGAATTAAAAGGAAAGAACATGTTTAACATTGACACGCAAAACTGTCTCAGTTCTTATGGTTATCATTTAAGGAGTTAGTGTTGTTTCGTTTTCGGCAATAAGACATAATGTTTGCGCGACAAGTTATTTCTTGTAGAAAATAAGTTTTGTCTCCTGCCGAGAAGTATCGATGATTTGTTTGTTTGTGCAGAGCCTTGAGCACATCAAAGTTGCGTCTCAAGAACTCAGGAACAGCAAGAAGCTGACCCGCTTGTTGGAGGTGAGTGTCCCTAGAGGAAATGGGAAAAGGGTGAATGAACCATTGTGTCGAGAGTCGTGAGAAAGAAAAGGAACTGTATTTGTTTGAATGTGCTTTTTAGTTATTGTTGAAGTTTTCTTTTTTAAGGGGGGAGGGGCGGTAGATTGTTGGGGGGGGGGGGGGTCCTTTTTTGTCGATTTTTTTTCTTTCTGGGTTTTTTGTTTGTTTGTTTGTTTATTTGTTTTTAGGGGGAGAGTCTCCTTCTTTTCTCCTTCTTCCGTTTCGTTTTGGCTTTTTTTTAAAGTATGGCTATTTATTCTTTATTTAGTATTGAGTTTTCGTGGTATTCTTTTGGGGGTAAAATTGGAGAGGGTAGTGGAGGATCATGCAATGGTAACCTGCCAAAATGATTGCAATCTTTGTTCTAATCAAACGGTGCTATAGCTAAAGATGCCAGTGTATTATAAGATACAGGAACATCATTGAGCACACTCCCATGGTACATCTACTGTTTTCTCTATTTCAATTCGTACATGTTTTGTTGTTTGCTTTTTTCAGCAACATGATTCCATGAGACAGCCTTTTATCTCTTACATGAACAGATGATCATTATCATGGCTGTATTTTTTTTTTGGTGGGCGCCAGGTGGACTGTCTGTGTAACATAATAACTTTGTTGTCTGTAGGGAAGGTAGGTAGGCCTATATTTTTAATAAAGTCGAAATTATCGAGGACGGCTTCCCATTGTCGATGAGAAAAGTGTCTTTCTTAGACATGTGGCCGACTCACACAGTGTCATTTTTTTGTTAAGAAAAAAAATATGAGGAGGAGAAAACTGGAAGTGGTCGTTTTTACAGGTGGCCGTTAGAGCAGGTTCGACTGCATATGGGAGGTAGCGTGGTGGAATCAGGCTCTCGTCAAAATAATCAAAGTGAAGAAACTTGCATTTTTTCGCAGGTTTGTGAATTTTTATCAAATTTTTCTTTTTTTGACTCAACACCTTTTATGTCCATTAAAGAACGCATATTTGTGTGGATTTTTCTGAAAAACTTAAATTAAAGGCACAAAAAATGTAAATTTTCAGTTACCACGGACTCTTAGGCTAAGAAAATAACTAATCTTTGGCGACCATTTTCTCATTAATTTTACCTCTGAAAACAGGTGACCCCCACCTCTTTCATTCACAAATATCTCGACTTGTATTCAAGATTAAATGGATATTTTTTTTACCGTTATAAAGACAAGTGAACAAGAAGATGATGTCAATAACTCTAAATGCCCAAAAATTGACGAGAGCCTGATTCCACCACGCTGCCTCACATTTTGTCCTCAAACAGACTTTACATCATAGAAAATATTTTTATTTTCAAATGATTTAGTACATGTAGTTGGTGTTTCCGTTTCCAGGTTATCCTAGCTATGGGCAACTACATGAACAAAGGGAACAGCCGGGTGGGAGAGGCGGCTGGCTTCCGGATAACCTTCCTCACCCAGGTAAGCATTGTGTTGGCGTACTTCTCAACATGGACTAGTCCGGAAGTTTTCCAGTTTTTTTCCATGAATGCACAGAGAGAGAGAGAGAGAGAGAGAGAGAGAGAGAGAGAGAGAGAGACAGAGACAGAGACAGAGAGACAGAGAGACAGAGAGAGACAGAGACAGAGAGACAGACAGACAGAGAGACAGACCGACAGATAGACAGACAGACAGACAGACAGACAGACAGACAGACAGACAGACAGACAGACAGACAGACAGGCAGACAGACAGACAGACAGACAGAGACAGAGAGAAAAACAGAGAGAAAGAGACAGAGAGAGAGACAGAGAGAGAGACACAGAGAGAGACAGAGAGAGAGGGGGGGGGACAGTGACTGGGAGAAATAAGGAGGGAGAGGGGATCGAGAGAGTGAGAGAGGAGGGGGGGAGTGGCGGGGGAGAAAGAAAAGAAAAGATGGGGTGAGGGGGATTGTTAAATCTTCAGTGTGTTGTCAGTCTTACATTGACTACAACAGCACAAGCCAGTGTCTTACTTGAAGCCATGGTCTGCGCACCTATCCACCCAGCAAACCTGTTCGTCAACGTGACATCATTGTGGACAGTAATAACGATGTCTCTCTGGGTGTACCAGTACCAGCGTCTGTGGTGTAGGGGTTAGACGCTCCGCTGCCGCACGCAGGAGACGGAGTTCGATTACCGAGTGAGGAGAACATTTTTCTCGAGTATCTCGGATTTTCTGCTGGGCTGCTGCCTGGGTCGACTCTGACAGGCAGGGTCGGACGCCGGCCTCTTAAATTTTAATTAACTAAATTTTACCGATGGAGACGTAAAAAACCCCCAAAAAACTACCTACATTTCTCTGCATGTATAGCTGGATGTGACCAAGACAACAGACAAGAAGTCGTCCTTTCTTCACGTCCTGGCGGAAGCGTCCTACAACAAATTCCCCGAACTTCTCTCACTGGGCGATGAGCTTCAGGCTGTTGAGAAAGCCGCTAAAGGTAACTCGGTCAACACACGTTTGGTATTGAGTACCTGCTACCAGGCATTTTGGGACTTGCTGAACCTTTCGCTACCAGCATTATAGGCCTACTTTCCAAAGAAAAAAAAAAGAAAAAAAAAACCCTCAGGCATAACTTTTTTAAAAAGTTGGACACGTCAAAATTAAGTTTTTGGTTTAAGTAAAAATTTTATGGCACTTGCAGCACAGATGAGCCATGTATAAGTGTCGAAGATTAGAGGTGTTACTAAACAACAACAAAAAAGAGAAAAGGTAAAGACAATGGATACCGTATACACATATCTGATAGAAAAGAAGGAGAAGCATGAGTGGGAGCATCATATTTATACACACATATTTATGTATAACACAGCAAAGCAAGAATGAGAATGTGTTCTGTGAGACTGGGTTTCTTTTTTTAAATATTGGGGTTGTTTTGCTGTTGCTGTAGTCGTTTCTGTTGGTGCTTGTGTTTTGATTTCGTTGTTGTTGTTTTTATTTTCTTGTGTGTGTGTGTGTGTGTGTGTGTGTGTGTGTGTGTGTGTGTGTGTGTGTGTGTGTGTGTGTGTGTGTGTGTGTGTGTGTGTGTGT